CCTCTCTCTCTTTTCTCTCTCTTCTTCTCTCTCTCTCTCTCTCTCTCTCTCTCTCTCTCTCTCGCTCGCTCGCTCGCTCGCTCTCTTTCTCTCTCAAGATACAAAATTAACCGTTGAAATATGCACTGACGATTTTGTTTTATAAGAGTCTGCAAATAAATTGTTTAAATAACAATAACTTAAATATAAATATTAACGTAATATGTCTCGTGAGCTTCTACAATCGTCAACATTGGGCTCCCATTTTCTCCTCGCCTTTTACTCTTTCTTCTTCCAGTTTCGATGAGCGTAACGATAACGTCGTTTCTTGTCAACCCGTATCAATTCGCCTCTCGTTGGTCTAATCGGTTAGTTTTCTTTATTTTTTTTTTTTTTTGTAAAGTAAAATTTTCGCAATAATTACTTTTCGTCGAAAATGTACATTGATTGCTTCAAGCCTTTAAGGTTCTCCGACAATATGAACTTCCAGATTTACAGTTTTCAAAAATATGAGTTTTAACTTATAATTCCTTATAGCAGTTTATCGCATGAGAAATACTTCATTAGATTTAAAAAAGAAAAGTTCAATCGGCAAAACTGAAAAATTTTCGGAAATTTGGAAATATTAAGTAATAGAAGCCATTGAAGCTAGATTCTAGATACCTTGAATCCTGGGAAAGTTGAGATCGTAGATTAGTCACTGCTTCATTTCTTTAACACATTTACGCCCAGCATTAGGTGCTGTTGTAGGAGTTAAGTCGAATACAGGCGCGAATGTGTTGAATTTAACTAGAGCTTTCTTTTTTTCTTTTTTCTTTTTTTTTTTTTTTTAATATTCTAAAACCTTGGATCGTGGCAATTTGGCTATTCTTACTCGCGAAATCAATACATTTTCAAATTTGTTATTTTTTTTTTCGAGACATTTCAATTTTTAAATTTCTTCGCATTTTTGGAACTTGAGATTTTTGCGACTGGAGATTCATTTATTCTTCAGCTTTTTCAAAATCCGAACATCCACATTAATCAAGCTCATCATCAGACACATCAAATTCCAGAAAAATTGCGACGATCGCAGGAGTTCTGAATTCCCGTTATCTCGGATCCATCGTCCGCTAGTGGACGTCTTGTCGAATCCTCGACAATCATAGATTCTCGGTATCTCGGATTCCGAGCGCTCTCTCATAGATTTTTTTTTTCCTGGAGGATCTTCGGATCCTTCGAAACTCGCGCAACACTCTCACTATTCCGACCTCTCGGCAGAACGATGAGCTTTAGGGATTAGTTTCCGAGGGTGTTTTCGACGAATATCGTCGTGTTCGAGTCTTCCGGGACGAAGTCTCTGCAGTTCGATAGTATATGAGATGCGCAGATCGATCACCAAGACGTCGGCGGCATCCTTGAGATCATTGGATCGCATCTTATCGATCGCAAATATCGCCGTATGTGAATCGCGTGGGAACTCTCACGGTTGCTGCCTTACACATATATATGCGTGTGTACTCTCCGTGAGCGTGTGTGTGTGTGTGTCTGTGTCTGTGTGTCTGTGTGCGTGTACGTGTGTATGCGCGTATATATGTAATAATATGTATGTGTGATCGGTCCGCGCATAAGGTATATACCGATAGATGTTGATAAAGCTGCCATGGAGCAGCGATGAGAAAAGCAGAGCTCTAACGAAAATTTGCCTACATGATCTTATCGTCTCGAGAACACAGCATCTCTGACAGTTAATGTTGTGTGTGTGAGTGTTTATGTGTGTTTGCGTGCATGTATGTTACGAAAGAGATGGTTCGGGTGGTTTACCAAAAGGTATAACCGCCCTCTGTTCCTCCTCCCAGGAACGAGCCCTTCTTTTGCGAAAGGGCGACGCTATGGCCGGCCATCGCGGCTAGCTGCGCGGCGTTAGCGGCCACCCCGGGCGGCGGCGGCGGCAGAACCGGCTGTGAGATGCCGTCGAATCGAGTACCATCGAAACCGTTCTGTGAAACAAGAGTTACGAAATGATATTAAAGCACGACGATATCTTTCAGCTCCTTCTTTTACTAGAAGTATTGTAACACCGAAACTTCTTTCATGCAGATTTTTACCAAAATTTCTAATCAAAATATCCAGTTCACATCGCCGAGACATCTAGATCGTAATCATTCGCACACAGATGCCTAATCTAAAAACTGTACATGAACACTTACGGGTACCATAATGGTGGGTCTTACGGGGGCGGGCTGCATAGCTGTCGCAGGATAGTACGCTGTTGTCGCCAACGGTGGATAGTATTGCAACGGATATCCCGGTGGATAATATTGCAACGGATATCCCTGACCGTACATTGGTTGATACATCTAAAACGGAGCGATGATTAAATGACGACTTGTCGTTCGGAAACTCTTTTCACACTTTTTCGTCGTAATAAAATACAAGACGACGACTCTCACCATAGGATGCGTAAGGGTCTGATCATATGTCGGAGGCGGTGGGCCTTGCGTCGCGTATAACTGAGGTTGATTGGGAAACACTCCATAAGGAGCGGCGCCTGCAACTTTAAATGAATATCATTAGAATCGATAGCTGTGGGAATAAATCGTGGTGAGATTTCCGTCATTAATGCCGCGCAATTTCAAAGCTATTGTGCTTGTCCTGAAAAAGTGGAAGGTATTAACGATCCTTAGAACACTTTGTACGACTAAAAAAATTGCTAGTGTAAAATAGTGATACGAAGAGTGTGGCAAGTTTAGAAATAAAAGAATAAGAAAGAATTGAGAAAGTAGCGGAATGAAAAGAGAATTTCTAATTCACTAGCATAAGATGGCACATCAATCATCAATTTTTAAATAAAAGAACAGAATCTTACATTATTATTGTTCTCTCAAATAAAATAGAGTATGAATAAAAATATATTTATCACATTTATGTGTTTCTGAAAACTCCTCTTTCAATTAAAATCATTAATTTTTCTACGCTTCTTAACTTCTCAACAAAAACATACTCTAAATTTCAAAATCTTAAGAAATCTATCTCTTTGTGTTGCGTTGAGTGTACTTTCATCACTTGTTATTAATCCTTCCAAAGTGTCTTGGAGTTCTCTTGTTCTTTCTAAGTGCCCAAGCAGTTAGCCAACGCCACGTTCTATGTTGTAAAGCGCAGATCGTGATCGCAATTGCGCCCTTTAGTAGAAAATCTAAGAAAACTTGATCTTACCACCGTAAGTTGGAGGTTGCGTAGGCGCGGGGACAAAGCCGGTCGGTGGATGCGGCGCAACCGGATAAGCTGCAACACAAAGCAATGCGTAATGCAGCTCCACTGAATTCGCAGATTGCAAATAGCGTGTCTGTGTGTTCGATTTAAGCCAACATGGTACGTGGTACCATACCACCAGAAAGGACGAGTGCCGGCGCACTCCGTCCGCGTCTCGACGCGGTATCGAAGGATAGAAACCGTGCGGGATCTTTGGTAGATCATGAGAGACTCCTTCCGCGTCGAGTGCGCGTAGAGCACGTCGTCGAAATCGGGATGCGATTGGATCGTCTTCTCTGCTGCGCTTTCGGAAAACTGTTTTTTTTTTTTTTTTTTTCGAGAGGCCGGATAGATCGATAATTCGAATTGACCCGAAGCGGTATACAAGTCTTCAATTCAATCCTTGAATAATATCACCTTGAACTTGAGCTCTTGCTTTTTTTAGCCATGTACAACTATTTGTAGCTGTTCAACTCAGTTAGATTCAAACCTTCAATTATTCATCTCTTCGCGTTCACGTTTGGCACTTCAAGATAATCTACGGTGTTACAGTTCATAAGCAAATTAATTTAACGATCCAGGTGTTAATGTACAGGATACATGTTAGTATGCCATAGCTAAAGGTGAAATATTGAACTAAGCAATCCTATTTGTAGTGAGCAGCAAGGGGAAGAAATAATAGACAATATCTCAAAGGAAACTACTTCAAGGTGATGTCTTCAAGAATCTCTTCAGTTTTCAATTCAAAAGACGGCCGTTCACAGTCGTTAGCTTCGCGGCTTTCGAGCCGCTTGAAAATAACCGCTTCGAGGTCGCTTTTCAGTTCAAGATATTCACTTTGGAGAGGTTAACGCGGCGCGTGAGATCATTTCCGTTTTCGAGAGAGCGCGTCGAAAGAATAAGTCAACAGACGGCAGCAAAGAGAGAAACCGTCCAACGCGCCACCGATCCGCAGAGTGATGGTGGTGTGTGTGTACTCCCACACCCAAGTATATCTTACACATGACATACACCGTTTTGATCAAGGTACTATTCAAAGCTCAAACAATGTTAGTCACTAAATAATGGTGAAAAGAAATAACCGAAGATCGCGCCCGCCTGTCGCTCCCGGGGCCTTCCTTGAGCTTTATTCCGCCCGGTGTGAACTGCGGGGGCGCAGACGGGCTTTTTTATAAAAAACATTTACAAGGTGACCAACTGCTCCTCATTCCCAAGGACAAACTCATATCATATTCTTCAATCGTGTACGAACACTGCGAGAGAATATAGAAAGAAATCACTTTTTTTACAATGCAATCAGGTAACTCTAAGTAACTCAAAGTTTCTACAAGATGCAACTAATAAATGTAGATTAAAGACTTAACCAGCTAGTAGAATTCGCAAAAACGAAAGGCTGAACGTAAAATCGTTTCCGAGATACACAGTTTTTCAATTCTGTACGCTACAGTGCAATCGCATATGTTGTGGAATTCCATACGTGATTGTACAAATAACAGCTCGTAAAAGTAAAAAGCTCAATATCTCGAAAACTCTCATTTGTGGACCTATGTTGATCAAGATTCTTTTGCTTTAATTTTTGTCTACCGCTTGGAAAACCTTATACAATATTCTTGCCAAAAGAACTGTTACAGTTTAATCACTGATTAACTTTTCAAAGAAACTAGCAGAAAAGCGAGAATCTTTAGAGGCAGAAGTTTAACTAAAGTGTCAATTTTAATTCCATTAAACTTTTCAAACGTCCCTTTTTTTTTCGAGAAGTTAATCACCTTGGATCACACTCTCTCGAGGACCCATTGAGATCGTTAACTGATCATCCAAACAAATGGATCCACGATCAAGGAATTGAAACGAATCGTGCTCGAGAATAATTCGAGAAACATCGACAGATCCTTCGAAAATTGCAAATCGCTAGAATTTCAATCGATTTAAGTGTCCTCAAAGATTTGGAAGTTTATAGTCTCAATTTTTTCTGTACTTGCCGGCTGTTTATTCTCGAACAATGACTCGCTATTGAGCAACCTTTACTTCTAGAACTAAGATTTAATACGAAACCGATCTCAAAGCAAATAGCGTTACGCAATCAAGGTAAAAGCCAAATACATTCGTCTAGGAGGTCGAGCCTGAGGGATTTACATAAACATAAGGCGTCAATAAACAACTTATTGAAGTACATGAAACCCTTCAATTAATTTGTTAGCATCTTGGGCTTTCGCGCGAAGAATCCAACTCTTTAAATTACAAATCTGGATATTGGAATATTTAATGTTTGTTTGTGTAAAGTGTAGGAATTTAGAATTACAAATGTTTGGAATTTTAATTCTTTTCTGCTGAAAGTTTCATTATTTGAAAAATAAAACGCGTCACTCTCGATTATTTGAAGAAAGAAAGATAAAAATTTATAAAGCTATTTGCATTTATGTAGAACTGAAGCTTAGACTTGACATTTCTGATTTACTGCTCTTTAAATTCTCAAAAGCAATTGTACCCAAAAAGTTAACAAATCGTTTTCTCTTTTGTTCTTCTCGTCGATCAGTCAACCCGTTATATTCCAACTTTTCAACTTCACTCTTACATTCTCATTGCATTTATGCATTTGCAGCGGTGTCTAAGAAATGTGACTTTTGGACATAACGGGTCAGAGATCGATCTAAGATCGCAGATCAGCAAATCCCGAGGCTCGGCCGCGTTCGAGAAACAGAAAAACGACAAAAACAGAGCTAAAATAAAGCCAGGAGATAAGAAGGATAACGGTTGCTCCAAAAAGTGATGTTAGAACAAGCCCAAGTTAATCGAAGGACTCGCGATGTAAAAAAATCGACAGTTTGTCTCAACATCATTATCATCGTCATCGTCATCATCATCATCGTCATCGTTCTTGTTATCGCTAGTAATGACGAGACGCGATTTCACAATTCGAACTGAGAAGAAGAGTCTCTCTCTCTCTTTCTCTTTCTCTCTCGGGGCGGTGAATGTGTAATTTATACAATGAGTATAGTGGTACGATGATTATGTATATATATATAGATATATATATAATATTTATATATGTATATATAGTGGTGGACACTATATATACATATCGGGCTCCACACATTCAAAAAGTTGTGACAAGACTCAGCAAACCACAAATTTCTGCAAATATCCAAAGATAAAGGATTAACATGATTAAACATGATGAAAAGTTCCTTGAAACTCGTGTGTAATAATAAGTAGGTAACGTTGGTGACCGACCGCGTCGCGACGACCGCGAGACGCGCTCGGCCACCTTGTTTC